CATGTGTTAAAGGTTAATACTATTTGTTCTCAGTACATTTAGTCTTTGCAAATCATGTGCTGACATGCATCCCATTTTGGTATCTGTTCACACACTCCAGTAATGATGCGTAGAGCAGGAACTCATGCCTGTACCATTCAGTAGTATTTAGTAAATTGAACTTTTGTATAAAGGTCTTAAAAATGGTAAGGCAGAAAATGAATGTCGTCTTGCTGCTAATTTTATCTTCCGCCGCACACTCCTCTCTGGAGATAAAAGCATTATGAATCTATTCACTACTAAAAGTTATTTCAACTTTCATAGTGCGTATCAGGATGCAGAAAGGCAAGTACATGTTCACAGCTGTTCCTCAGGTCTCTCTGCTGGAAATACAACCTGTTAAGCTGCTAGATTTCTGCTTAATATAACTAACAATAATGAAATAAAACAATTAGCTGGTGAATCCTCATTAAATACGAATACAGAAATAAATAGTACAGCTAGGTAATTGACTGCATATGTAAACTAGCTGTAGATAATTGATATGACCTTCATTTAATGAGCCTCCTTCCCATTAGTGGAGACAACTGCCACAATTATGTGCCCTTATTCGAGCTGTAATTGTATGGACTTTATTGAAGTACGAACTAGGTCGTGTCTTCCTGAGATGTGGTCCATGGTGGGTGACCTCTTTTCATTGCTTCAGCTTTGCTATGCTGCATGAGAGAAGGAGCAGTCAGGAGAATGGATATCGTTCAGGCAACCAGTCTCAAATGTTATTTTGAGAGAGATGTCTTGTGTGACCTGAGAGAGTAGCTTAAGGCTAGGTCTCAAGGAGGCTAGCATAAATCTATTTTCAATAGCTTGTATCTATTTTATACAAGTTAGTAGGTGCATACAGCAGCCTATGGGACAGCAATTAAATGAAGATTTCCTCTCCTAGAGAAGTCTCTGATCTTTTATGCCTAGTGACATAGCTGAACAGGATGACTGCAAAAGCTGGAGCCTTTAGTTGTCGTTCCTGGAAGGTGTGGAGTAGAGACCTGAACCTCCCGCAGCTGAGAAGGGAGAGGGTGGATGCACGATAGAATACAGCCTGAGGCTGTATCATCAGTGATTTTTATTTGGTATTTTTCTAGCTGCATGTCTGGCAAAAAAAATGGCCATGGCTACTCTGGTTTTTTGGGCTTTCAGTGGTATTGATGCCCTCAGAACATGCTGTGTCAGCCAGGTTGCTCCAGTTAAGAAATACTGGGCACTGATGAGCCTCTGTGGGAAACAGTTGCTCAGTCTAGCAGGGGAGCATCAGGCATAGGTGCACACAGAAGTACCGGGACATCTCCATGCGAGGCTTCATAGTGGTGGATGAGCCCAGCATGGAAAGGAGCAGCACCTTGCTCAGTAGTAGCATGCTGGGAAAACAGGAAAATACAGCTTTCTCCCATCTTCCCACTCTGGTTCCACTTCCATGCAGGGTGGCACGGTGACTTCCTCATAATCGGAAGGGTGTATGTAATCTGTTAGTGTTTGGGGTTTACAAGGCACTTATTGTAACAGGACAGCTGATATCTTCAATCTTTGCAACATAATGAAAGTTCGATAGTTGGGGAGCAGAGGAAAAGGACTGGAAGCTGCCATCCAAAGTGTTTCCAGTGACCTCTACAGTGCTGTGCTGGGATATTAGTCCTGCCTCAGTAAGTAAGAGATGAACCGTGCATCCATGAGTCAGTTCAACAGTAGCTTGAAAGGTTGTGTTTGTACCCATGGAGTGAGATTTAAATATTATTCTGCTACAGCATGTTAAACTAGTAGATTCTGAGCAGCTGCTACTGGCAATTTCTGAGATGTTAAAATATTACTTCCTCATATTAAATCAGTTGATATAATTTTGCTGTGAAAGACAAGGACTGTATATTGCTCAAGTCATGGTCAAGATAGAAGAATCTTTTCACATCCTGCTTGCACAGTTTGGCTCACTCTGGGATTCATTTACAAAGAAGTAGATGTTTGATCTGAGTTTGCTTGCTAGCAATATTCCATGTGTTTGTGCTGCTAAAGCTTACTATGACATACTCTTCTTTTGTGATAAATGGGAGGAAGAGGGGTGGCTTTTAGCAAAACGCATTTTCTTGTGTATTATTAGTATGTTATGTGGATAATGGCTGTCTTAAAGCTGTTGGTTTTCAGAGCCTAGTTGTACATTCTTTCTTGTTACCCCAGATAGCAGTGGTGGTCATATGTCATTGAATGGGATGTAAATTGATCAAGCCTGACAGCAGTTTCCTTCCAAAATGGAAGGCAAAATTGATTAAGGAAGGATTAATTTAAGGTGATATCAAGTACTGTTAGATCTGGTGCCCAGCCAGCCATTGGTGGAGGATGCTGAGGGCTCATTGGAGTCAATTGGTGAGGCTTCTCTATCATCTTCATGTAAGAAAAATCTCCGTGCCAATGAAGTTGCACAGCCACTATTCTATTCATTTTGCATCCCTCCAAGTTCATTGCTACCATGAGAGATAAACAGCCCAATGACAACAGTGAAGGATGTGGGCTGGTCCAGGAATCCTTCTGTCCTTTGGTCCCCTCCCTAACTTGAAAAGCAAAAAAGCAAAAAAGCCTCTGACTGGTGTACTTAGCTGATGGGTGCAAGCTTCTCCTCTGTTCTGTGCTTGTCTTGGTGCCTGTTGTGTTGTGTCCTCTCCTCTGCGCTGGAAGGCCCTTTGGGGCACTGTGTGCTCAGACTGTCTGTCTTCCAGAGTCAAGCTGTTGGCTGGGACCTCTGGGCACTACTCTAACAAAAATAACAGGAACTTGGTGAAGAGCCAGAAGATCTGTGTTCTGTCCACTGCTCTGGTGGTCACAAAGTGTGATGTGGGTGTTTGGGGTTTTTTTTTCTCTTTTTAAGTTTTATAGAAAACAAATCTCAGAAGAGGGAGTGTATGAACATTATTATTTGTCACCTGTTTCACTGGCTCTGCATTTATATGCAAACTGAACCACCCCTTCTCCCTCTTGTCTTGTCTTTCATTGTTTGGTAAAGGAGGACTGATAACCTTCTTCCTTGTGTTATAAATCACCTCTGGAGTGTCTCTTTTCCTCCCCTTTGAGGAAGAAATCTGATATTACTCCCTGTAGCATGTTTTAAAAATCCTAGGATGAAAAAATCTGCAAAATATTAATGTTCTGCATGCTTAGAGCAAACACTATGTTCCTGTGAGTCACAGATGTCAGGTTTGTTTAATCTTCATAAATCTATGCCACAAGAACACTTTTAAACAGGAAGAAAGATGGAGGGATGAAGGAAAAGTTGTGCTGGGGTAGAGAGGATTGTCAGCCAGAATCTTTTTTAGAGGGAGGCATGGACACAAACCCAAACAGTTCCCACCTCCCAGCTTCACTAAGTAAACTTTGAGACCTCCGTTTTGGGCACTGCCTTCCTACTACATATTTCATTTTCTTTGTATGTTTTATGATAGATTGTCTTTCCACGTTTGAGCCTTAAGAGTACTAGTTTCCCACAGCTTATTTGCAGGAGATGAAGTAAGGCTTTTTACATAGCACCCTGTTGGCAAACAGAAATAGCATTTACTCCAACGAGCGCTGCCAAGTATGAGGTACTTCCGAATGAACTTCAAAAGCTCTGAAACAAGCATTAGCTGCTTCTTCAAAAATGTGAACAATGCCATTGCTTTCTAGCAAGCAGAACTGGTGAGAGCAGGGATCGGAAGGAGGAAAAATAACAACGGGACGTGACGGATGTTGTAGTAGCGCTTGGGATCGGACAGAAAGTATAGCTCTCTGTCACTGCGGGATTGGGGGGGTTCTTGTAACAGTACCTAAAGTGTGTACTCTGCATGTCAGGAGGAAACTATTTCTACCCTGAGGAGCATACAATCTACAGAGATTGCAAAGCCAGTCATACAAGCCCAGGCTGCTGGGAGCACTGATGGGAGCGAGTTACGCTGATTCCAAGCCTGGTGAGGAGTTTTCTTACTGGCACTCTTTGCTGATGCTACCCTCCTGTGCTCAGTGAGGACAGAGCCAAGCGTGCGCATAACCCTCAAAGCACGGCCCGTAACATGCGCCAGAACTTGGGGCAGAATGTGAGAGAAACAGGCAAACTGCTGTGTTTCAGTATGGTAGTAGGGCTGGTTGTGCTTCTGGTTTTCATGCTGGGCTCTGGGTTTAACTGGGTTTAATTGGGTGCTTTGCCCGCTTGAGAACAGGCGGTATGGGGCTCTGGGAAAACACGGTGCAGTGGTTCTGGTACTGTCATTTCAGTATGGCTCCTTATCAGCTCTGTAATCCAGCAGCTCCCTTCCGTGGCATTCACATGATGCAAGCAATCTTTCCAGCTCCAATTTAGTATGGCAGCAAGCATACTGTCCTGGACCATTTTCTTGTTCTATATTTATGCATACGTACCGTCTACTTTTAGATGAGGAATTGACCTGCTGAGACCTCAGAATTGCATGGCCTCTTCTTGTGTTTTGAAGGTTGCTTTCAAAATACAAAAGCAACTTACACGGGTGCTGTTAAGTTTTTAATGGATAGAACAATAAAATATTTTTGGCATAAAGACATCTTAAAAACCAAATATTTGTATTTGCACTTGAAATAGAAGTCTTGCCTTTCACACATGTGAAGCTGCCTTTCACTCCTGAAAAGCTGCATTGCTAAATAGCAGTTCTGCTTTTGCTGTTACCTGAAATTGGTGTAATCAGTCAAAAAATGGGTCATCTGCATACTATCTAATCTAATCCTTACTACAGAGACTTTGGCATGTAAGGACTCTGACTTGCTGGTATCGATGTTGCCTAAACCTTGGCATATGCTTTATCTGAAACTTTAAATCAAAGAACACCCTTGTACAAGAGTATGCTTCATCACCAGTAATAAGTTGCAGTTGCATGCAGCAGATCTCTGCAGAAAATGCATAATGTCTCAGGACAACTCAGGTGAATTTTTATTACTCTGTCCCTTGTAAGTTAATTATTTTTTTCTTGTTCTTGTCCTTAACAGTTCCACCAAGTGAGAAGAGTGATGACCATCCTTTTCCTTACTATGGTTATCTCATACTTCAGTTGCATGAAAGCTGCCCCGATGAAAGAAGCTAGTGTAAGAGGACAAGGCAGCTTGGCTTACCCCGGTCTTCGGACCCACGGGACTCTTGAGAGCCTAAATGGGCCCAACGCTGGTTCAAGAGGACTGACATCGCTGGCGGACACTTTTGAACATGTCATAGAGGAGCTTCTAGATGAGGACCAGGACATCCAGCCCAGTGAGGAAAACAAGGATGCAGACTTGTACACATCCCGAGTCATGCTAAGCAGTCAAGTGCCTTTGGAACCCCCCCTGCTCTTTCTGCTCGAGGAGTACAAAAACTACTTGGATGCTGCAAACATGTCCATGAGGGTCCGGCGCCACTCTGACCCAGCTCGCCGTGGGGAACTGAGCGTATGTGACAGCACGAGCGAGTGGGTAACAGCGGCAGAGAAAAAGACTGCAGTGGACATGTCCGGGGCAACTGTCACCGTCCTGGAAAAAGTCCCAGTACCCAAAGGCCAACTGAAGCAATACTTCTATGAGACCAAATGCAACCCCAAGGGGTACACAAAGGAGGGCTGCAGGGGCATAGACAAGAGGCACTGGAACTCGCAGTGCCGAACTACCCAGTCTTACGTGAGAGCTCTCACCATGGATAATAAAAAGAGAGTTGGCTGGCGCTTTATAAGGATAGACACTTCCTGTGTATGTACATTAACCATTAAAAGGGGAAGATAGTGGATCTGTGTTGTATAGATTATATTGAGACAAAATTATCTATTTGTATATATACATAACAGGGTAAATTATTCAGTAAAAAATAATTTTATGGACTGCATGTATAACTGAAGTTTATACAGTACAGTGGTTCCACAATCTATTTATTGAACATATCCATGACCCAAAGGGGAACAAAAGTCATTTGCGCACAAGTTTAAAAAAAAGAAAAAAAAACACACACAAAAAAAAGAAAAAACAAGCAAAGTCTGCATTACATTCCTCGATAACATTGTGGTTTGTCGCCGTTGCCAAGAATTGAAAATATAAAAAGTTTTAAAAAAAAGAATAAAATTGCATGCTGCTTCAATTGTGAATTGATGATAAACTGTCCTCTTTCAGAAAAATAAATTGAACCAAAACATTCCGTTTACATTTTAGACAGTAAGTATCTTTTCCTGTTAGTATTATATCTGTTTACTGCTTTTAACTTCTGATAGCGTTGGAATTAAAACAATGTCAAGGTGCTGTTGGCTTAGTTTTACTGTTTCTCTTTTACTTTTGAACTCCCATCAGATTGAAAAACAAAAAAAAAATTATTCTGGATTAAAAACAAATTTGGTTTTTTGTATGTTGTGAAGGTGTTTGCAATAGCAATCCAACTACTGACAAAAAAAATAATAAAAAAAAAGAGGCAACTGAAAAAGAATGGTGATGTTCCACTTCACATTGTTGAACTTCAGTCTTAAGGACAGCACTTATTTAACTGTATGGCAACATGCTTTTTGGGTTTTTTTTTCTTTTAATTTGCTGTCTTTTGAGACCTGCATTTGCTTATACCATGTTTGTTTGTGTTTGTTTTCTTTTTTTTTTACCCTTTCCTCCATCTGGAAGAGGATGTTGGTTGTGATCTTTAAAGTATTTCACTTACCATTCAACTGGAGCTTGTCATAGAGAAAATATTCTATAGCCAGTTGAGAGCAATGATTTTCATGGAATAAAAGACTGTGCTTGGATGGAGAGTCTTTAAGACTCAAATGTCTTGGTGAAGCACTAGAAAAGGGTCTAGAAAGATGACAGTGGATTTGAAATCAGGTTGATCATGGGACTGGGTAGCTCAGCCAGTTCAGGGACAAATACCAGTGATTTGGGTTGACTGAATGTGGTCCTGTGCATCCCATGAGAGCTGCCTTGTATGCTGGTGCAGGTAGCACCGCCTTACCCTCCTGAGCAGGTCCAGCAGCCCCAGGGCTGCAAAGCAAGCTGTGCAAACAGCAGCAGCATCCCTGCCCCAAGGACAGAGCTAGGAATGAGGTGGGAAGAGGCCCTGCCTCTAAGTGAAAGCAATTACCATTTCAGTTCGTGTGGCTCTACCTCTGCTGTCAGCCTGATTTTATGAAATAAATATTGGCTTTAAAAATACTCTTGAAGTAAGTGAAGAGCAAGTGCTGGAGGAGTTGGCTTAACGGTGCTTAGGTTCCAGTAGATGTATTTAGCCCTGCGCTACCCCTCCGACTATCCTGGCAGAAGCATCTCTAAAAAGACAAGTTGTAAGTGCGCAGCACTTGCCCTGCCTACAGTGGGCAGAGAGGCAGAAATAGCTCCTCGGCGAGCTCACTGGAGGCAGATGCTATATTTGTAATTCCTGTAGATGAAGAAAAGTAGCTGAACAAAGAGGAAAATACTGCTAAATAGAAATACTTCTGAATGCTGCAGGATCTGCGTTAGTCTGCCTTGCTGTTGAAGTTAATTAAAAACCTGGACTGGGCAAAGCTGATTGGAAATATGATTCCTCACAATAGTTCTCAGTGAAGAGCGTATTTAACATTGAGTTGATGTCATTACTAGTGGAAACCCATGCTGGAAGCATGACACCCTCAAAACCAGTGATTTATTCTGCTTAGGGCAGACGGGCTTCCCCTTCCCAGGCTAACTGGCTGTGGAAGGAGAACCATCCCAGCTGGACAGTGAGAACCTTTTGCGTTGGCCATGTGCATGCTGGACCATGAGTGAGAAGAGAGGGTTATGTGACCCACGTCAACTTCAAACTTCAGCTTTCCCAATCCACGGCAGATATGCAAGTTCCCATATAGAAAACAGAAATTAAAAGAAAAAAAAAAAAAAAACAAACTTACTGAAATGTCTCTAAACTTCAACTGAAGTGTTCTTCATGCAAATTAAATGCTGGTTTAATGGAGAATTTCATTCCACTGTGGCCAGTACCTGTATATATATTATAATTCTTTGCATTTAATAACCTAAACATGGCTCAAGAGCTATTCTCAGCAATATTCCTAAACTACAGCAGAGAGATGGTGTAAGGTGGCTCTCCTCAAAACAGGGCTGGTTGCTTAGGAAGGGGAAGGGATGATGCTAATGAGTGAATAACAAACAGCTCACGCTTCTAGACTGGAAGAAGAAATGATAGCTAGGACACGACAGTAATCTAATTCAGATACAGGAATAAAATAATTCCCAGTTCAAATAAACTGAATTTCCAAAAGAGAATCCTTAGTGCATAAATCATGCTAGAAATAAAGTTCCTCATTTCCCAAAGTTAATTGTGGTTATTTTCTTAACTCAGAAATTCTCACCTGGTATAGGTTGGGGTGGTGTTGGTGTGGCAGAATTAGAACAGGAGCATGGTGGGTTCAGAGGGGTAAAGGACAGCCTGTGTGGGTGAGCAGAGTAAAGGATGGAGCTGAGAACCTCCAGAAAACCTGCTGTGTGCTGTAACTCCATCTAGAGCGATATTCCCCATAACACGCCAACTCTATGCCTATCGATAGAACGTGACACTGGCAATTAAACTGCGGTCCCGTGGCTCTCACCTGCCTGACCTAATCCATCCATGATCACAGGCTTGGCAGTTTTACTTAAAACCGAGACTGGGGGGGAGTGGGGTAGGTTTTTTTTCATGTCACTTAATTAAACTCTTACTGTGGTCTGTTTGTGACAAAGGTATATCATGCATGTCAGCAGGCCTAGTGCTGTGTTAAAGTAAAGACTCTTGCAACTGTAAGTTAATGTCTGTGGCCTTGTTCTCTATTATTCACCTTGTGTAACATAAATATTTATTGTATATTTATATAATTTTATGTTTTTTGGGAAAAAACTGAAATTGGCATTAAAATTTAAAAGCAACTGCGTCATATTGTAAATATAATTAAGCTATATTTAAGTGTACTGATTAACATAATATATGTTTAACTATAGAGTTTTTTATGTTTTTAAATATATTTTCAAAATATATATATAAAACTTGGGGTTTTTTGGGGGACCATGTGACTCTTTTCTCTAATTGTAAAACAAACTTGAGTTTTACTATAAAGATGTGTGTCCTTTGTTTTAAAACAATTTTTACTTTATTTTAGTAATAAAATCTCACTCGGAGGGCAGATAGCCCCCTGTTTCATAGCCGGACAGTTAGCATTGGGAGGGGAGGGGTGGCAAGAATTTACTTTCCATAAGAGTTTGGGATACTCACAGAATGTTGTATTTCCATTTAATTCTAGCACATAAGTCTTCGTGAGACTGAAAAACCTTGAATGACACATATATATGATTTTACTCATCTGTAAAATAATGAGCGTAATGGAAGTGGGGGAGGGGGGGTAGTTACTAACCTTAGTAACTAAGGGATAAGTGAGACATAAACTGAATAGCTATAGTCCAGTCAGGTACCTGATTTTTAAAGGGTGTCATGTATATTTATATCCTCTGCACTGAACTTATTTATGACCCCACAGAATACTAGGAGTGGAATTCCTTGGATTTAACATATTGTTAGCATTTCTAAAATAATATTCTCTACTACAACTGCCAAGCCTTTGTATATTTAATTATCCCATAGCCCTAGAACAATCAATCTTCATGATGAATAGAAAACTTTCATATAACTTAATGGGGGGAAAAAAAAAAAAGCACAAACCCAAACTCTTAAAAAATTCCATTGCTGCAAATTTCCCAAGAGCCCAGCACCAGCAATGTCTCCACAAGAACCGAGGAAATGGTGCTTCTGCAGATTATCATTTATATTAAACACACATGCGTGCACATTGCTTGCTTTATTCTCCTAAAAGAAGCTAAGGGAAGCGGTAACAGATACCCAAACCTTTGGTGTGTGGAAGGACGGGGTGATGTTATTACTGCACCATGCGCCTGCTCCTGGCTGTGGGAGCCGGCTCCACTCTGACCCTGCCTCCTCCCCCAGGTAGGACGGAGACAGGTGAGGATGCTTTAGCTTGTTTTACTGTTAAATATATGGCATAGGTACCTAGGGAATGGAACGGGCACCTTCAAAATACATATTTGAACTACTGAGGAAGATCCAGGAGCTAAGCCTCCACCCATATGCTCCGCTGAATCCCAGCTGGAAAAAGAAAGATATTTCCATAGCTTTTATCAGCGCAGAAATAAAGGCATGTAGGTAGACTTTTAAATTACTCAGCTAGAGAACAATACCAAACAGTAAAAGATTTTTCAAGATAATATCAAGGCTACATTGAAGTGCAATGAGAGGGGGAGGGAGGACATTTATTTCAATTTGTCCCAGGTGGATCCAATACACTTCTCCCACAGGCTGCTTCTCCTAATTAAGATGTCATTGAGAAGACACCTTCTGGCAGGGCAATTAAAATGACAAAGAAATAGATGCACTTGTTTGGAGTAAATATAAAGAGCACCAAGGCTTTACCTTGTGATGTAATTTTAAAATTAGGAAGGTTCTGCAGGGGATGTTTTGGAAGAGGAGAAGATTTTTCTGAACCTTTTTTTCATGTTGGGTTTGGTTTTGTTTTTTTGGTTTTTGTTTTAACCACTTGCTACCATTTTGGGTAGTTAAAGACTGTGGTATCAATATAAATCAATGGAGTTAAACTGATGGCTTTTTTTGGTGCCTGTGGGAGAAGAAAGCCTGGAGATGGCATGAGTGGGTACAACTTTTACAAGCAGTATTTGGATTCACCTGTGGAATTTGAGATGCTTCTGGAAATCAAGTCTTTGAAGTTTTATCCTGTTAGATGGTGGCAGAAAGAACTTCAAGGTAAGCTGCTCTTTGCTGTGTTGAAGGAAACAACAGAGAGCTGCTGGCGTTTGCTGTGCAAGGATGAGTCTCTAAAAGCTGTCTGTAACCTGCTTCGTTCTCTTGGGGGTCCGTATTGAAGTCACAAATATATTTACATATATATGTATTTACATATA